TATTATACAGACAAGGAAACTGAGGCCCAGAGAAACCAAGGGCCCTGTCCAAGATCACATGGTTAAAAGAGGCAGAGCAGGGATTTGAACTCAAGCCTGTTTGGGACTTGGACCACCGGGGAAAATCCACGTGCTGTGGTCACTACTGCCACATCCCACGAAACCCTGGGAGGCTCGCTGACTCTTCAGTGCTCAGTTGTTTATAATTTATAGTCCCTGCCCTCTTCCAGAAGTTTAAGTCAGCTTCCCAGAAAGATGTGTACGTTCAAGGAGTAGCAGAGAATCAGAAGCACAAGGCTTTGGAGGCAGCAGGGGGCCCAGCAGGACTTGGGGGGGGGTGGAACGTGCGCCAGCTCCCACCTAGGACTCGGCAGTGATGGTGTCATAGAGCCCTGTGAAGTCACCCAGTTCCTAGGAGGCCCAGCTATTGGCAGATTCCAGCTTTAATGAGAGCCCCCAAGGTCAAGGTGCTGTGCTGAAGTGAAAGTCAATCCTTTCCTCCCTATGCCCTGGGTTGTCCCCACAATGTCGCTGCCCCAGTCCTTGCCCAGCATTCAGTTCATCTGGAGTCATCCCCTTAGTAAGCCTTTCCTTTCCCACTTATGGGTCCCTGTGAAACAATAAAAAGAGAGAGGGCTAGGCTTGGTGTCAGAGACAAGTGGGGATTGAGTCCATCCCACCTGGGGATGTGACCTGGCCAAGGGATGTACCGCTGAGCGGCAGCTTCCTCATATCTGAATCTGAACCAAGGTGGTGGTGTCAGCCCAGCATTCGTTCCCCCTTCTCCAGACAATATCACCCCAGTACCCTCTGGAAGTTTCCCCTCCCTCACCCCTAGTCCCTATGGGACCCCAGCTTTAACTATTTCACCTTACCTGCTGGCCACAGTGACTGATGTCAGGAATAGCTGCAGGACTCAAGCCAGACCAAGCAGAGCCAGGCCTGGGACCTTTGTTGGAAGTATTGGGAAAGTGGCAGGGGATGGAGGGATGCCCCCTCCTGGGGCAGCTAAGCTGGTGTTTCAGGTGGCCAGCTTACCACCTTGAGCCGGACCTGCCTGAGAATGTATCCAGCCGGGGGAGAGCAGATAGGGTGAGACAATGACTGCTGATGACACCTGAAGCTGTTATACTCGAGACTTGCCAGTAACTTAAGCTTAGTTAGATCATTTAGGAAGCTAAGGATCCAGAGATAACTAATTTCCCATCTCTTATTGAGACTCCTTTGTAAGCATGAGAAATTTTTAGCATCAAATATTAAGTGCTGCTTCTTACATATGGACACAGTCATTAACCCTCTTTTCATTAAATGTATTTCATTAGAAAAAAAATCTCATCCCTGTTCTTGCATTCTGCAGTTTAAAATACAAGCCTGCTGTATGTGAGCAAAAAATTCATCAGTCGTTTATTAAGTGCATTTGTTAAAAGTTTAACAGATGATTATGGGACTTACTGTGTGCCAAGCACTGTTCTAAGCCCTTTACATATATTACTTCATTAAATACTTATATTATTACAGTGAGGCATAAAGAGGTTAAATGACTTGCTCAAGATCAAGTTCCAGGCCCTGGGATCAAGCCCCTCCCCCCATTCTTCAATGTCCTTCCCAAAGAGCTCTTTCTCTGCAAAGCCTTTTCTGATCTCCCCAACAGGAAGTGCCCCCTGGCCGCCACAGATGCCCTCACAGAGGCAGGCTGTCACCCTCCTGCCCTGCCCTGCAAGTCAATGTGCTGGGCATGTGTCCTACACCCCATCTGGTTGTGAACCCCTCCCAGCTGAGGCTTAGCTCCCACACAGGCCCATCCAGGGTTGTGGGCAGGAAGTCGACAGCCAGCCTCAGCCCCACCAGCAGTCACCTGGCCTCTTTCTCTTGAGGTGCCCTGAGGAAGCAAGTGAGGGGTGCTCACGGTGGGGGACCTAGAGAGAGGGGTCCTCATCCCCGGGCAGCTGAAGACCGCAGGCATCTCTCCAACCCCAGGAGGCGTGGGAAGGAATTGGGACAGGGTATCAATGCATCCTGGCCTCTCCCAAACCAGCTGTGTGACTGTCACCTCCCGGTGCCTCAGTTTCCTCACTGGTAAAATGAGGAGGATGGTTAGGGACAGTCCCCCAGGAACCTAGGAAAGTTCCTGCGAGAATGAGTAAAGCAGAAGTTTTTTACTCATCCAGGAAGCTTTTGGGGTTCCCGGATGGCAAGCTGCCTGCTGGACTTTCACTCATGTATTCATTAATGGAGCGCCTATTATGTGGTGGCAGTGTCTGAGGCACTGGGGGTGCTTCAGAGATTAAGATGGGCAACGATCCGGCTGCCCAGGAGCTCACTCTGCAGCTCTGGTTTGGGGAGGCCTCTGAGCCTCCACCCACAGGGGGCAGCAGGCTTGGCACTAAAGGACCAGGCCCTTCCATGCTGGGTGTGGAGAAAGACTGAGGGCTTGGAGGAGAGAAGTGCGTCCTCCCACCAGCTCTGCCCCCTTCTGCCAGGTGACCTTGCCTCTGTGGGCATTAGCTCCTCACCTTCCAAGTGAGAGATTGGACTGGTTGGCCCTGAAGCCTGCTCTGCCTGCTTTGCATGGCCATTCATGGTTAAACATTACCCACTCTGTGTCCCTCCCTCCCTGCCACTCCTCGGGGAGATCAAGCCATAAACGCTGCCTTCTTCCATCTTCCTCCAGGGCTGTGGGCCTCTGAGAGGGGCCACAGACATACTTGCTGACTGTCTCCTCTACACCTGAAGCCAGGGTCTTGAGAGGGGAAGACTGGTGGTCCAGGTCTGGGGCTGGGGGCTTAGAGTGGGGATACTTGGGCCCTAGCCTCCCCCCACCCCATCTGCCTGCAGATGTTTTTTCTTGGTTACATCATGCAAGGCTCTCTGGATCCTTCCCTGAGGAGCTCATGGCTTAATGAGCCCCTCAGGTGCCCTCTTCAGGCAAGATGCCTCAGCCCTCCTGGTTTCTGGGAAACAAAAATAACTCAGAGAGGCTCCTCTCCCATGCCCTTCACAAGCAAGGAGGGCCAGGCCCAGCTGCCATGCCCAGCCCCACCCACCCAGGTGTTTTAAATTATGAGGCTGCATAATTATTCCTGTGTACCCATAAATCTCAGGAGTGGGAATGGATCCTAGCCAATATGCAAAGAGCTCTCTTCTCATCTCATTCTTTTCGGTCTTCAAATCAACTTTATAAATAGGTATAATTTCTTGGTCATCCATAGCATACATACGAGAACACTGAGGCTCCAGGTGATAGACCTGGTGAGTAGAGTGCCAGGTGTCAGAGTCAAGTCTGACTCTAAAGCCCAAACTGGTTTCATACCCACTTCATAGCATAGCAAGAGACTATTACAGTTAATGCCCTGCTCATGACAGACATCACTAATCAATCATGGCACGGCAGACATTGCTAATCAATTGCAGTGTTCTTTTCTAGTAAGCTCAGAGGCAGCTGTGAACTCCTAAACACAGTACTCCAGGACACCATTTCCTATCAGAAGATCGAATCCACAGTATTTGCCATTCCGGTGAGCCCACACCGTCAGCCTTGAGTCCTCAGGACTCAGGCACAACCCCCAGATGCTCTAGTCAGCAGGGCACAGGACTCCTCACTGTACATCAGTTGCTGTGTTGTTCTTGGAGAGGGATTAAGGGCTCCACCATCCCCTGAACTGTTGTCCCTTCCAAGCATGGTCTCTCTTAGAGACACAACAACCATACAGGTTTGCTTGGGGCTTCAGGTTTTTTTAGGTCTTTAATAGAAGTTTTTATTATGAAACATTCAGGTATACCCCAAAGTGTAGTTAATAATATTATCACAGACAATTGTGTTCCCACAGTTGAAGCAACAAAACATCCCTGACACAACCGAAATCCCTGTGTGTCCCCTTCAGTCCATCTCTACCTCCACCCCCGCCAGGCTACCACTCTCTGAATTTTGTGTTTCTCATTCTCATGCATATTTTTATACTTTTCTCACATAATTACATATTATTCAACATTACAGAAATTATTTTTGTTCAGATCTTGTTGCCACTTGTCATTTTCATACAATTGGATGTTATGAACTTTTAGGCATGATGATAAGTGCAGCTTTGAATCTTCCACCGTATCATAATTGTGAATATCTGTTGAGCCCTCATTCTACACCAGGCATGCTTTTAGGTGCCTTACCTGCCTTAACTCATTTAACCTTCACGACAAAATGATTTTTATCCCCACTTTACAGATTTAGAAACAGAGGCACAGAAAGGTGAAATTATGTACCCGAGTCACATAGCTTGGAAGCTGTGCTCTTAATTGCTAGACATCACTCTCTCTACTGCTGCGTGGTCTGTTGTATGGAAACACAGTCATTAGCCATCTGTTCTCCTATTTAAGGGCCGTTGCTTATTTTTGCAGACATGCGTCAACTTTAGTCTCACAGGGTTTGGGGGCGGTTGTATTATCTTGCTTAGTTCCAACATCAAGCCTGTGAGTGGATGTCTGTATCATCTCCCTTTACAAATGAGGAAGCTAAGGCTCAGAGAGGGTAAATCGCCTTCTCAAAGCTGCACAGCTCCAGCAAACCACAGGTGCACTGTGAACCTGGGCTCCTGCAACTGTAGAGACCAGGGGTTCTCCCGTATCCCATGTGAGCCCTTGGTCCCTCACTGACTTCCTCTTGGCTCTGTCCATGGCAGCCTGCCCTCCCTCTCCCAGAACACCACTCCCCACATCTGGCATCCAGGCTTCCTCCTCTCGCCACCCTCCACCGTCCTCCTTCCAGAGAAGGGGCCCAACCGGAAGGCCAGTTCGTGTTAGGAAATTCCAGCCACATGAGCCAACCCAAGCCTGGGATTCTGAGCAGCTGGTGGCTTTAGGAGAAACTGAAACTTGGCTTGCTGGGCGTGGAGTGGTCACGGGGGATTTAAAGAGCTGCCACTTCCTTCTCTTCCCAGAGGGTACTGGGAGGTCACAGCGGAGGAGGGACGCCCTGAACCGGGTGTGAGCTTCTGTTCTCCTGCCCCACCATGCACCTCTGTGGGGCTGATGGGCCGCTGATCAGGATGGTGAGTACAGGGGCCAGGTTCAGGGGATGAGAAGGGGAATATGCCCCAGGGCGCCCAGTGCCAGCTCTGTTCACATGGGCTGTGTGGCCGAGGGCTCACACACCCTCTCTCTGGGCCCCAGTTTCTTCAGCGGAATGGATCGAGGGCTTTCCTGCTCTCACATTGCAGATCCAGCCTCCAGTTTAGAACTTAGCCTCTGAATACTGCTCTCTCCTAACCTACCTGTTCGCTCACTGCCATTACAGGAGCCTTCTCTTTCCTCCCAGAGTTCTCTGGCCATGGTTCCCTTGGAACCTTGCGTCTCTCCCAGGACCCAGGTACCAACGGTCCACCCACTTCTCTCTCTGTAGGTCTTTCCCCCAGGCTCCAGTCTCTCAGTCCCCACATCACCAGGAAGGGGCCTGCTATGGCCATGAACCTAGGAGCACAGAGTCCTCCACCAGGGAGGCCAGGGTCTTGCCTGAGGTCCCTACACTCAGAACACACCTCCCAGAGTGACCTGTGGGAGGGGGGGGTTGGGCTGTGGGGTCTCCAATGTTCCCTCTTGTCTGACCTTCCAGAGCCCTGGGCATTTGGGTTAAACATTTCATCTAAGTTTCATGAACCTCAGTGTAGGGGGAGGGTCATAGCTGTCAACCTTTGAGTCCACTCTTCTATCAGAAGGAACTCGATTCACCCATTCTAGGCTGCTGTCTCTCTAGAATGCGAGCAACTTGAGGGCAGGAAATTTTGCCTCTTTTGTTTGCTGCTGTGTCCCCATAGCTCAGTGTGTGGCACATAGTACATGCACAAGAAATATTTGTTGCATAAGTGAATATCAACTTTGGGCCTGAGCTAGGCATGGGAATATGGAGTGAAATCAGAACCCCCGCCCTGCCCTTACAGACAGAGCTCATGGCTAGAGAAATCAACACCTTGACCGTGGAGGTAATAGCGATCAGAACAAGAGCGGCTGACTTTTATTAACCCCTGCCTGCTTTAGGTTCTGTGAGGAAGGCGCTGGTGCCTCCACTGTATGGATCAGGTAGCTGGGCACAGAGAAGTGAGTGATCTGCCCAGAGTAGCACGGCTGATAAGGAGACTGGTGGGTGTGAAGTTGGTCCTGTCTGGATTTGAATCCTCGCTTGTGCTGCCCCATCATGAGCTGTGAGCAGGACACGTGGGTGGGGCTGGCAATCCACCGAGGAGTGCTGTGTCTGCAATGGGGTGTGTGGACACCGAGGGAGCCAGAGAGGGCTTCGAGGAGAAGGGGGACCCTCGGGGACTTGATTCAATAAGGGTATGGCTTTACAGCTAGCCAGCCCCTGCCAGGACCCCTGAGCTTCTGGCCTGTCTCCCTACAGGACCCTGAGGAACATCAGAGGCAGCTGAAGAAGAAACAGAATAACCGTGAGGCGGCCCAGAGGAGCCGGCAGAAGCACACAAACAAGGCGGATGCCCTGCACCAGGTGGGGGATGCCTCCCTTCCCATTCCTGATGTCACTTACCTGGCCCGGCCACCTCTTCTCTGTCCTGCCTATGAGCAGTTCCCCCTGCACTGCCGTATGTGCCAGGGGGCCTGAGTTTGGGAGGAGGGAAGGGCTTTGCAACTGAGATTTGGAAATTCCTGGGTGTTGAGTGGAAACCGTGTGCCAGACACATGCTGGGCTCCAGGGACATGACAGTGCATCCTCATCCCGGGCCTACCCTCAAGGCACCCCCAATTTAGGGGGAGGAGACAAGGAGGGAGGCAAACAGGGAAAACGTGGCTCAGTGACCAGCTGAGGCACTGGTTACAATGCAGCTCCTGGCCTCTCCCCACCCAGGACGCACCTCAGGAGGTGCTGCACTCTGATGGACGGGTTCTGATGGGGGTGGCCAAGACCACGCTGTGAGAAACCGGTTCAGGGTTAAGATGGGCTGGCTTTAGAGTCCCAGCTGTGGCACTAATTAGCTGCAAGTCGCTTCCTTCACTGAGCTTCACTGTCCTCATCTGAAAACGGAGACAATAATCCCTGTCCACTGGCAGGACCCTTGTGGAGACTAAAGAAGGCAAAGGAGCCCGGTGGGAAGGGGGAGGGCTCCACTCACACTTGCCTCTTCACCTTGGATGGTAACCTGACCTTGGATGGTAACCTGACCTTGGAGCTTCCCTTCTACTCTATGCAGAGAGAAAGGACACCACCAGTTCCATCCCAGGGGCACGATTAGGCTGGGTTCAGGACCTGGCCTTTGGGAGGGCTGCATACATGTTAGTCCTTATAGCAATGAGTACAATTCAGAGCCCTCCACACCCAAAGACCCTACACTCTCTGTAACCCCGCCCCCACCTGTCCACTGCCCTCTCCTAACATCCTACACCCTGTTCTCTCTGTTCCTTCACTGGCCAAAAGCACATCCAGCCTCAGGGGCTCCCCATGGCTGTTCTGTCTACCTTCAGACAGCAGCCTAGCTAGATCCTCACTTCTTTCTGGTTGTTGGTTCAAATGTCACCTCCTCAGAAGGAGGTGGTCTTTCTAAACATCTGATCTAAAGAGACCTCTCCTACTACTCTGCTTTATTCTTCTGGTTAGTACTGACTTTCTATCACATATTTAGATGTGATCATTGCTTGTCTTCCTCACCAGACTGTAAGCACTCTGAGGGCAGGGAACTATTCTGTTCCCTGCTGTTTCCCCATCACCTGGACCGGTGCCTGACAAATAGAAGGGACTCAATAATTCCCTGTGGAGCGAATGATAGAGTCAGGATAAAGTGCTTTGGGAACACATAGGTGGGAGCAACACACGGGTAGTTGGGTCAAGGTGGTATAGAGATGAAGCCTGAACTGGTTTTCAAGGATGAATAGGAGTTTTCCAAATGGATGAAGGTAAGAAAATGCATTTCAGGCAAGTGAAATAGGACTGGCATGGCCATGAGAGAGTAGCACCCTGTAGAATGCATGAGAATGAGGACTGATGCCCAGGATGGCACCTACCTGACAGCGGTAGAGACTTCATGTGTTCGTTTATTCCTTCCTCCCAGAAATGCCTATTGAGTATCTCCTGTGTGGCAAGCACAATTCTAAGCATTGGAGATACAGCTGTGACTACAGCAGACAAAAGCCCAGCTCACCCTCCCCAGGGCTCATATTTTCATGGGGGGGGGGGGGGGCAGACAAATAAATGACCTATAAGGTATTTGGGATATCAGATGGTGATACGTGCTTTGGTAAAAAGTAAAGCAAGGAAGAGGGAAGGGACTGGGGCACGTGGGGTGATAGAAACCTAACTAGGGAAGCGGTCCCGGAGGAGGTGACATTTGAGCAGCCTGAAGGTGGCGAATGAATGAATGAGTGAACGAATGAGTGAGGAGCAAGTGACTCAATTTCTGGAGGTGAATTGAAGCCTTTGGAGAATTTAGGTGAAGGGTGACCTAATGACATGTTTTTAAAATGTCTCCACATTCCATGGCAGAAACCAGCTTGGGAGTGGGGCTGCGGGTGGCTTTGAAGCCTGTTAGAACTGAGTCCGTGGCTTAAGCAACATTTTAATGCAAAACACCCTTGCAGCTTCTTCTTTTAAAAAGTGTCCATAAAAGGGGGGTAGGTGGGGGAGGGGGACAAAGGAAGTCACTGAGCCTGATGAGCTGTGGAAACAAAGTTCCTTCTGCGTTTTCCACCACTGTTGTCATCATAAATGGTTGTTTAGAACTGCACGTTGATTACTGTCCCACTGGGTTCTCAGAACCCAGCGTTCAGCAGAACAGAACCTAAATGCGGAACAGAACACACCTGTGCTGCCAACCTGTAAAACATGACCCTGGACTCCGGCCACGGTGCCTCAGTGGGAAAGTTCTGGGCACTGGGGAGGTCTGGCAGTGGCACTAAGCCGCCTAGAGGTGTCCAGGACAGAGGACATCTAAGTTGTCACAAGAAGGCCATGTCAGGATTAGCCCGAGGATGGGGGTGCTGGAAGTGTCCAGGCAGGGGAGAACGGAAGTGTGGCAAGGAAGCATGGTCCATATGGGGAACAGGAAGTAGGGGCATCAAGAGAAGTCGGAGAGATAACACTGGAGGTGTGAACTGGGGCCACCATGCACAGGGAGTCATTAGAGACTTTAAAGGGCTTTAATGCTCGATTAATGATGCAATCGCCGAATGTCTCCTCTGGGCCAAGAGATCTGGGTGGTTTGGGGGGCACACCAGTTAGGAGGCTGGTGGAGCTCCCAGGTGAGTGGAGATCCCAGGCTGACTAGCTCAAGGACCCGGCAGCAGGGATGGAGAGCAGGCAGATCTGAGCCCTAGCAGGAGGGTGAGTTGGGGGGACTTGCTGGTGTTATGGAAGGCTGGCCAGAGAGTAGCCAAAGGGCATTCAGACGGCGGTGGCATCCTTCCTCCTAAATCGAGGACCCTGGGGGATTGGGAAACAGGGCTCTTGCTGGGCCCCTGATTCTGGCTGACATAACGCTCCCCACCCATCTGCTTCTCCCCCCAGCAGCATGAGTCACTGGAGAAACACAACCACACCCTGCGGAAGGAGATCCAGGCCCTTCAGGCTGAGCTGGCGTGGTGGAGTCGGACCCTGCACATGCATGAGCGCCTGTGCCCCGTGGACTGCGCCTCCTGCTTGGCTCCAGTGCCCCCTGACCTCTGGGGCCAGGCTGAGTTGCCCCCAGGCCCCGTGTGCCCTGGACAACTTGGCTGCCAGGAACAGCCAGGCCCGTTCCGGACCCCGGTCTCCTCTCCGATGGCTCTGCAGCTCTCTCCAGATCCACAGCCTCATGGTTCCCTTGGCCTCCTCTTGTCCCCTCTGCCCTCACTGTCCCTTGGTCCCGCCCCTGTCACTGCATCCTCTGCCCAGCCGTCCCCTAGCCCTGTCCAATCTGCCTCGCCCACTGGCTCCGGCCTGCTGAGGTCTTCCTCCAAGCTCAGCACCCTCCTGCCCAGCCCCCCAGCCCAACCTCCCCCTCTACAGTCCCTCGGGCTGGAGCACCCCACCAGGGGGAAGCTGGCGTCCTCAACCCACAGCCCCTCAGCTCCTCTGGGGCTGGGCTTTCTGCAGGGCAGGGAGCATAAAGCCTGCTTCCCCGGAAACAGATCGGCAAGGGCCCCACCCCCTCTGGCCATCCCCCTGCTCTCCTCTGCTCAAGTCCACTTCTAACCCGGCCCCCAGAGCTGGGCTGGCCCCTTCCTTGGACTCAGGAAGCAGCCTCAGCACATGGGCATCTCCTCTGTTGCCACTGGATGCTGCCTTTATTGGCTGACCAGCTGAACCAGTATTTCACCAGGGAAAGGAAGCCGTCACTGTGTGCCCACCACTCTGCCAGGTCCTGTCACCGCTACTTTCTTATTTCAACCTCATGGACATCCTGCAGAATCCAGACTGTCAGTCTGTTTTTCAGGAGTGGGAAGGAGACAGGCTCAGAGAAGCCAGATGACTTGGCTAAGGTCACACAGCCTTTCTGAAACACCACAATCTGCTCCTCCTCCTCCAAGTGGGGTCATGGCCCAGGCACCGCAGGGGCTGAAGTCCTAGAAACTGAGAACTGGTGTGAGAGGCTTAAGTGCTGGGAGTGAGGAGGGACTCTCCCTTCTGCTTCATGATTCCCAGGGCCACAGAGCCCTGCAGTCTCTGACACCTTGTCCTCACTGGGGCTGGTCCAGAGTCCAAGCCTGGGTGGGGAGGGGCCAGGCAGGAGCCCAGAAGTGAATTCTTTCTGTTCTTTTCAGTGCCAAAGAACTGAACCTGTGGGTTGGAGTTGGGGACAAGCCTGGAGCAGTCTCCCCTGGGATTTCTACATGCTGAGTACCCATAGCCATGCCATGACCTTGGGGAGATTGCGAAGGGTTAGCTCTCCAGGCTATTCCCCAATAACTCCTTGCCTCCCTCCTTCTCCCAGGGCCATGGTGGGTGGACTTCTGAGAGCATTCATGTCATGCACAAAAGGCAGGTGGAAAGAATGAGGGAAGGACCAGGTGCAAAGTTATGTTTAAGCAAGTGCTGGACTTGAACCTGGCGGCGGTGAGAACTGTGTCTTCTCCGGTATCACCCCCATCCCTGTGCAGCCCTCAGGCTCTCATTACCCTCAGGCCCCTCTGAGCAGTGCCCCTCATTGCTCTTTGGCCTGATGGCAGCTGGAAGAGCAGGGGCTTGGGGCTAGGTGGGAGCTCAGCTGTAGCGCCTGCTCAGGGATGGGGGTGGGGTGGGGGGCGGCAGGTTCTCATTCAGACTCAGGACAAACACTGTAAGGGGCCTGAGATGAGAAACTCCAGCTCTTCACCCAGAGTTTCACACACATGTAAACAGACACTATGCTATTATTTGACACACTCCAGGATGCTGAGTACAGGTGTTGGTACCTAGACTTTATGGTAAATAAAGTGTTGTCCAATTCTTTTTACTTTGGTTAGTTGTTTAAAGCTCTGGCTGTACTTTGTACTATTGAAACCAAAGGGCCTTTGCAAGAAGAGGGAATAGTCTAGAATCTCAGAGGCGGGTGATCCCTTGTAGACCTCCTAATCCAACCCCCCCTCCCATATTGCAGATGAGGAAACTGAGGCCTCGAGATGGGATGGAAGTTCTTGGACCCATGCAGTAAGAGGAGGTGTCATGGCCACAGGATTGTGGATGGCTGCAGAGCTGGGGTCACCAGTAGGTTCAGGGAGAACAGACTGGTGGGAGGGAAGCCAAGATGCTGTTGGTTGGAGGTCTGGGACAAGAGTCGATATGATGTACGATGCTCCAGGACTCACAGGGAGATGAGGATACTGTGGCCTGGCTTGTGTGTTTGTCAGGAACTCTGTGTTTAACTCGGGTTAACTCAATGATGACTCTAATAACTCTGCAAGGTAGATATATGTTATTGCCCCTCTGTTTGGAAGGGGAAAGTGAAGCCCAGAGGTGTTAAGGTCACATAGCTAGGAAATGGTATAGGGTCAATGTAACTTTTAGGAGCACTCAACCACAGGTGATCCTGCCTTCTACCTTCCCGGAGCCTTCCCCGTAGGCCCGGAATGGAGGGGCCGAAACATGCCCATAGATGTGACCCAAGAAGGTAAAACCTTACTTTAAGCTCAAAACAAGTAAGAGAGGGGAGTCACTTAATTAACGTTGGTACACTCATACCCTGAACAGATGCTAAGAACAAAGAATGCTTTGAAGAATATTTAGTGAGGTGAGAAAATGCTTATGATTTATCAAGCAGAAAAAATAGAATGTGCAACCGTCACTATAGTGTGATATTATATTTGTTTAAAAATATAGACAGAATCAAAGGAGTGCAAGGAGGTGTTGTAGACTCTTGAGGGAGATGAGCTAATATCTGTGAATTCCCAAACTGTAAACACAGCTACCACTGTAGCAGAAGCCTTCCACATGATTGAATATATCCTAGAAATCTGTATCTGGGTGTATCTATTGCTGCGTAACAAATTATTCCAAAACTCAGTGGCTTAATCAACAAACATGTATCATCTCAGTTCCTGTGGAGCGGGAATCTGGGCACAGCTTAGCAGGTACCCCTGGCTCAGGGTGTCTCACGGGCTCCAATCTAAGTGTTGGCTAGGGCTGCAATCATCTGAAGGCTCGAGTGGGAGGATCCACCTCCAAGCTCACTTGTGTGGCTGTCTGTGGGCCTGAGAAGGTCCACCCCCAAGCTTATTCACAAGGTTGCTGGCAGGATTGAGTTTCTGGAGGGCTGTTGGACTGAGGACCTCAGGTTTTTTTTCTTTTCTTTTTAATATTTATTTATTTATTTGGCTGTGCAGGGTCTTTAGTTGCAGCACACGGGATCTAGTTCCCTAACTAGGGATCAAACCTGGGCCCCCTGCACTGGGAGCGCAGAGTCTTAACCGCTGGACCACCAGGGAAGTCCCCCTCAGGTTCATATAGGCTGTTGGTTAGAGATACTATTTCCTTGCCACTTGGGCCTCTCCACAGGGCCGCTCAACATGGCAGCTGCTTCCCTCAGAGCAAGTAAGCTAGAGGGTGAAAAAAGGTGAGCGACACAGAAGCCACAGTCTTTTTGTAACCTAATTTCAGACATGACATCCTGTCACTTTTACTATATTCTATTGAGTAGAGACAACTCACTAGATCCAGCCCATGCTCAAGAAGAAAAGATTATACAAGGGCATAAAACCCAGGAGGCAGGATCATTGGGCTGCCCATCACACTGGGTGACAACCAGCACTTTCTTGGATCCCTTCTTTCTCCTTTTATCATCAACACTAGCAGCTGGCTTTCCCTGGAGAGACCATTTCTTTAGAAGGAAACAATTTTGAACCTTTTGCAGCAGTGGCAATGCCCCTGCAGTGGGCAGAGAGGATCTGGTAGGTTTGAGGCTACAGTAAGGCTAGAGACCCACAGCCTCAAGCCAGCCTTGCAGCAAGCACAATGCAGACGCTCACTCCTCAGAATGACCTTTGAAGTGATGCATGAACGGTCAGTGCTGAAATAGCAGGTAGGTGTAGGCCGAGAGTCTTCTGTGCTTTGAAAAGTAATCACTCACTGGAGGACTAAAGTTTAAATTCAATTTAAACTCTTTGAGCTGTTATTTTTTCTTCTGGTATTCACGTCTATAGTGGGTTGAATGGTAGCTCCCTAAAAGATAAGTCCACCCATAGCCTGTGAATGCGCCCTTATTTGGAAAAAGGGTCTTGCCGATGTAATTAAGTTAAGAATCTCAAGATGAAATCATCCCGGATTGTCCAGGTGGGCCCTAAGTCCAATGACCAATAAGAGGAGGTCACTAGTAATGGGAAGAGAAGACACAAAGAAGAAGGTCATGTGAAGACAGAAGCAGAGATTGGAGTTAGGCAGAGCCTCAAACCAAAGAACATCTGGAGCCAGCAGAAGCTGGAAGAGGCAAAGAAGGCTTCTCCCCTATGGAACTTCCGTGAGGAAGCTGTTGCACTCATCCAGGTGAGTAATGGTGGTGGCCATGACCAGGGGGTAGCAGGGAGGTGGTAAGATGAGGTCTGATTCAGGGTGTGCTTTATAGATAGAGCTGATGGGATGTGCTCATGGATTGGACGTGGGGAAAGGGAGGAAGGAAGGATGTTGCTGCAACTTGGGGCCTGAGCAACTGGTGGTTGGTAGTGCTAAAGACCAAGAAAGATTGGGAGAGGAGCAGCTTGGAGTGGGTGTGTGGTGGGGAGGGGAGATCAGGAGGCCTGTTTTGGCCATGTCAAGTTTGAGATGCCTATTTGCCATCTAACTGAACAGAAAAGAGTTTGGCAATTAGGGGAATGGTCAAGACTGGGTATATAAATTTGGAAGCCAGCAGTGTACAGATGGGTGGGCGGACACTGGGGACCAGATAAAACGATCTGTGAAGGCCCTTGCAGCTGTGTCTCTATGTGGGCCTCCTCTTCTTGTGCCCCAGAGCTCTCTCAGCCTGGCACTCCTTCCCTCCTGCACGCCCAGAATCTGCCCCCATCCTTTCTCCTCAAATGCTTCTTCCTCCAGGAAGCCTCCTATGATCCTCCAGGATAAAAATGACCCCCTCAGGCTCCTAATCACACCCATGTGCCTTTCACCAGCATCTATCATTTTCCTTCTTGTGTGACTTTTTATTTTTCCATCTCCCTCAATGGCAGCAACCAGTCAAGCCCTCCATGAGTACTTTTAAACAGCTCATTCATCGGGAGGCAGTAAAGCATGATGGTGAGAGAGCTTGAGCTCCAGGGTCAGATAGGATTGGGTTCATGTCCCAGCTCCACTTCCTGGCTCAACTTCTTCAAGCCTCAGATTTCTTATCTGAAAAATGGGAACTGAAAAATGTACCCACCCACAATCTACCCTATGTATATGTGTGTATGTGTATACATATCCATATATACATGTAAATATAAAATATATTATATATATAATAGAAAAGCATATGTTCACCAAAAGACATGAACAGAATTTTTATATCAGGAATATGGATAAGGGTAGGAAACTGGAAACAACCCAAATGCCCCATCAAGAATATAACAAATAGGGACTTCCCTGGTGGCGCAGTGGTTAAGAATCCACCTGCCAATGCAGGGGACATGAGTTAGAGCCCTGGTCCAGGAAGATCCCACATGCTGTGGAGCAACTAAGCCCCTGCGCCACAACTACTGAGCCTGTGCTCTAGAGCCTGCGAGCCACAACTACTGAGGCTATGTGCCACA